AACTTTTCACAATGAAACTTCATTGCTACAGTTTTTATGAGACATTCTTTCTTAGAAGACTTCTCATTTGTCTGGGTCAATTGCTTTCTTGAGTTTAGTTTTTATTCTGGGATTTAAATTTCTTGTGATCTTCAGAATTTCTCTTGGATTGTCTTCTCATTGGTGATTCTTGTAACTTTTGTCTTTTCTCCATTTACTCTTAAATTTTGGCAAAGCATCTGTAAGTAGGAATGGTAGTGCAGTGGCAGATAGCATGGTGGTGAAAACACTAGCATGTCTTTCCTTGTAGTCACACTGCTGTAGAATGTCTTTTTTTTTTTTTTTGTCAGTTGTGGGGCTTGAACTCTGGGCCTGGGTACTGTCCCTGAGCACTTCAGCTCAAGGTGAATACTCTACCACTTGAGACACAGTGCCACTTCTGGTTTTCTTGTGGTTAATTGGAGATCAGAGTCTCACAGACTTTCCTGCCAGGCTGGCTTTGAACTGCAATCCTCAGATCACAGCCTCCTGAGTAGCTAGGATTAAAGGCCACCAACACCCAGCTTAGAATGTCTTTTATGCTTGATGTGAAGCTTTCCTTCTGGAGTGGTCTTTCACTTTGATCCTCAAGATATTTTTCCTGTGATAGACCACCTGTTTTGCTGTTGTATGTCTTTTTTGTCTTAGCATTGTTTTGTGGAGGTATAAGCATGTCCAAAAATGCCTCATTCTCTTTTTACACTTGACTACTCAGTATAAAATTAATTTCTTTCTGTCTATGCTCACTCTTGGGTAGAATTCTTTATTAATTATCTATTGAATTTACTGGTCTTCATTTTATCTACTTTATTTCCTTATTTTCTTCTCTTCTTTTTTGTCATTTGCTTTTATCTTTTTACTCTCATTGGTTGTGTTTTTTTCTACCATCGTGTTTTAAATTTCATACTCTGTTATCTTCTTCCTCTTCCTCCTCCACCTCTTTCTCCTCCTCCTCCTCCTCCTCTTTCCTTTTTTTTGCTAGTTCTGGGGCTTGAACTCAGGGCCTGGGCTCTGTTAATGAGCCTCTCATTAACTCTCAATAACTGCTCAAGACTAGTGTTCTACCACTTGAGCTACAGTGCTACTTCCTACAGTGCTACTTCCAGCTTTTTCTGTTTATGTGGTACTGAGTAATCAAACCCAGGGTTTCATCCATGCTAAGCAAACACTCAACCACTAAGCCACATTCCCAGTCCTTTTGTTATCTACTTAATGTTTCATATAACTTTTATGCAGAACGTTTTCCTGTGGATACTAGTGACTTTTTCCTCTAAAAATGTTCTCTTTGAGTGTGCCTTGCTGCTAGGCTTGAACGTATGAATGTTACAGTTTTCTGGTGGGAATTTTTAATTTTTATTTTGGTGAGGTTTTTCATAGTTTGCCTGGGGGAAGAATGTCTGCCCTCCAGTGTTGTGGAAGCCCCATGTCAGAAGAGAGTTGGGGTTTTCCTTCCGGTTATGTGCCTGTGCGGTTGACTGTGTAGACCACGGACATTAAACCTCAGGTCTATGGCACAACTGTGGAAAGGTACTCTAGAGGTCGATTGGTTTCTCCAAGAGCAACCTCCACTCACTTCTCTTTATTTTGGTCCCTCCACTCTGACCCTTACTTGCAGAAATACCCAAGACTACCAGCTCCTATTTCTTGAACACGATGCAGTGTAAATAAGTTGACTATCAACTTTACAGTTGTAGTGTTAGGATTTAGCTTCCTTTAATATTTATCTAGTTTCTTCACCTAACAGGGCATCATGGTGTCATTCCTGTAATTCTGTAATTACTCAGGACGCGGATATTTGGAGGATTGTAAATTGAGGCCATCCCAGGGCACACAAACAAAAAGTTAAGGAGGTTCGGTGTGGAAAAGAAATGAAGTATGATGGGGCAGGTTGTAATAACTGGTACACAGGAGGTGGATGTAGGAGGATAGAGGTACGAGGTTTGAACCTAGGCAAAAGCACAGGCTCTATCTGAAAAATAGCTCAGCAAGCATGAGGCCTTAAGTTCAAACCCCAGTACTGCACCCTGTACTTCCAATAAAAAGAGTTTCTTCAGTTACATCTGTTTCATTGTGGAGAACACATCCCACTGTGCCTGGTGCATGCTGGCAAGTATGCTACCTTTGACCTATACCCTAAGCCCTTGACCTTCTAAAATTGTGTTTCTGTTGTATCTCTGCTCCTGTCCTTATAGCTTATATCTTTTAAACAAGTCACTGTTCTGTAGTTTTATTGAATTCTGCACTGGAGCAGAAACATTGATGTTCAAACTGCCCCCTGGCCATGGGCGATCTGCCTATTTTCTTACTGCATGTTTCTTGAACCCAAATGTAGGTGTTAAAAGTTAGACAGCCATCCTTGTGCCTTTTAAAAAGTACTTTTTCTTAGCTGCCCTGCTGACAGTTGCTGTATAGAATATCTGTTTTAAAAATGTTGACCCAGACTTGTTCACAGTAAATCCTTTGTTTTTTTTCTGCAAATCATTGCATCAGAGCACAACAGTAATGATGGCTTCAGGAGCGGCTGTACTTAAGGCATACAGAACCCAGTCTTAATGATAGATTTACAAAATCTAATGTCCTTTGAAAAGTCTTTTTCTCTTAGCTATACCATATACTTGGCTTTATAAAAGTGAGCCAGAAATGTTGCTAAGAAGTATTTATCTGTCTATAAACTGGTGGCTTGCAAATTTTCTATGTGCATCAGAATCACTGGATAGCTTGGGTAAGTGGATTTCTGGGCCCTATCTCCCAGAGTTTCCTATTCAGAAGTAATGGCATGGGACCATTACTACTGAATGATGATGCCAATTATAATGTTAATTTTAATGTTGGCATGGGTGGGTCAGCTTTTAAAGATGATGTCTTCATGTTCCTCTCTCCCTCTCTATCTTTTTCTGTTTTCAGTGTTTTAAAGTGTGTGTTGTCCTGTGTTCTTTCCTGCCTCTCTTCCCTTTATTGGTTTATCTGTTGCCTCTGGCTTTTCTGGTGCTTACCAATAAGAGTAACTCAGGCTAATAGAGGGGACTGACTGTCAAGGGAAGTCCTTCTGTGGACTTATTGCATAAAAGTCAGGAATGTGGCCATTGGCCTGTCGTTGGTTGGAAACTTGACGGTTTGGTACGTGTAGTTGTTTCAGTTTTGAGACTTAACATTGAGATGTTGATATGTAGTAAACACAGTATCAAGTTAGGACAAGTATTTTTGCTAGTTAGTTATTTGGATAGCTGTACATTTTTTTTAGAGTTTAATTGAGGGCTTTGAACTGCTAATTATATAGAAAAGGTATTCTAATTGGGTGTTAATTAGGAGGGGGGAAAGTAGCTTTTCTGTTAATGAAGGTGAAGAAATTGACAAAGCTTGAATTGAATCAGAGAAAATGGCCTCTTATCCAGTGAAGTAGCTTAATCCAGTAGAAATAGAATTTCAGTTTCCAGAGAACAGGTTTCATATTGTAGAAATAAGGGCTGGAGAAGTTTAACAAATCATGATTAGAGTGCTGCTTTCTCATTTTATTCCCCTTAGTACAAGATGAAAAGCATTAGAGCTATCATGTCAGCCCAGGGACATGTGCTTCTTCATGCATGTAATACAGCTATTCAGGAGGCTGAGATCTAAAGATTGCAGTTCAAAGCTGGGCTGGGCAGGAAAGTCCATGCGACATCTATAATTCACCACCACAAAGCCTCAAGTGTAACTGTGGCTCAAGCAGTAGAGCACTAGCCTTGAGCAAAAAGCTAAAAGAACAGCAATCTAGACCCTGAGTTAAGCCCTAGGACCCACACAAACAAAACAGAATAAAATAAAAAAATCTTTGTGATTGGTTCTAAAATATTTTAGCATAGATGTTTTGTTTCTTTATGTTGGTCAAATTATACAACTGTGAATATTAAGTTCTGAAATTTTCACCCAGAATCACTTGCTGCCCAGTCTATAGGGTTTAAGTACAAAGTATTTTTTGATTCCAGGAATCTAGGAATGATCCAATAAACTTCCTATTTGTCAAAATGCCTCCCCTCCTTAATAGCATGAATGTTTCAAAAAAGAAAAAAGAGAAGCTTTAGCAGAGTTAAATAAACAGTCTACCACATGTTTCCAACATAGTTTTTTTAATTTGCTTTTTTACATTCAAGTTCGGTAATCTTTAAGTGGAATAAATAGACATATATAGATTGTTAACTCTGTAAGACAACGACTTCTTTTTTGTCACGGTCTCCGGAACACTGAGAAGTATACTTGATATAGTTCTTAGAGTTCTGTATGCATTGGTATTGTATTACTTAATTAATACCACAAGGTGGTACTGTTGTCCCGTGGAATGCAAGCATGTTTCTTAGGCTCATGTATTACATAAATCCTGTTAGGACAGTGCAACGAATTGACTGCCTGTTATGCTTATTGCCTGTTTCAGTTATTTATAAATTTAGCATGTGATTAGTCTTTGATTACACGATTGGATCAGGTAGAGGGATCATAGCTTAAATGAAGAACATTTGGTTCAACTTTTTATAAAATGCTAAATGAGATACCATCTATAAAACCCTAGCAGAATACTGAGGTTCATTTCTCTTTCTTGCCTTTAATTTATTTTGGTTTAAAGGCATTTATTAAATTTCTATTTGTATTGAAATAATTTTCCCAATTTTTCTAATAAATTATCACTCAAGGTTACATTGTTTTATTGTATGTTTATTGTCAAAATTATAAAAATTGATGCCAGACCAAGATTGCATGTTTTTACCTTGCTCCAGAATTTTTTTATTTTGCTTTCATCGTTTATAGGGTATTAACCATTTTATTTTAAATAGTACTTTATTATATATGGCCTATTCATTATTTTGTGTAAATAAAATCAACTTATAAGTTATTTTGGTTTCACCTGTATTGTAAACCTAAGCATTGAGAAGTTTGTTTTGTACCTTGGACTTCTGAATCTTCTTATGGTTTAATTGATTTCTGAATATTTTGATTCTAATTTTTCTCAGAGTGAAGTGAAGTCAGAAGAGGGCCCGGGTTGGACGATCCTCCGCGATGACTTCATGATGGGAGCATCTATGAAAGACTGGGACAAGGAGAGTGATGGCCCAGAGTGACGGAGACCAGAATCTGCAAGTGACTCCGACACATAGCATAGGACACAAATGCTTCATCCTCTGACAGGGAATTATATAGACACCATTTGTTTAAATGATTTTGAATGAAGACAAGAATTTTACCTGCTTTACTGTTCCTGGTTTATAGGAAACATTTGTTTAAAAGTTATCTTTTCAGCCTTTGTAAAGTTTTAAGTATTTTTCCCTCAGAATTTGTACAAAGTAACATTTCTGTTTGACAAGAGATATGTATTTGCTAGAATCATTTTATGTTTATACATGTTGATTATGTCTGTTGGCGTGTTGCTAAAATTACAATACCAGCACCTAATTACAGTGGACTCTCAAGTTCATATTCCTCTGCCTGTCAGTATCTGTACTATGAAGAAATAATTGGTGTCCTGTTTCTTTGTTTTGATAAACTATTGAGAAGATTGATGTAGTAAAATTAAAAATTATAATATTTCTCATTTGGGGATATTGCCTTTAATTTTAGTGAAAATGGCATTTAAGAAACATGAACTCTACTTTTATGTCTCTTCCTTTTATATGCCAAATAATAAGTAGTTAGGTGGTATTTGCATCAGTTACTGAGTTAGAAATTTTCATACTTATCCAGTGAATTAGGATGCATATTTAACATGCTTTAGTTAGTGGCTCTCTATTTTCCCTCCTCTAATTATTCAATTAGCTTAAGTTTTCTGTAATAGACTGCCAGCCATCGAAGTGATGGAATCATTAAACAAGTAATCTGTATCAGATACAGCATCAGATTTGAGACTTGCTTCCATATTTTGTCCGAAAGGTTATGAAATTGGATGACCTTTGGTGTGTAGTTGTTAAACAAGAAGAAAAGAGAAAGAAAGCAAGACTTTAATACCCGTCCAAAATTTCTGTGAAACTTGGCCCAAGCTCTAAAGTTTATAAGGGAATTACTTAATAAATATGATCTGTTTCTTTTTGAAAATGATCCATCTCTTTCCCCATCTTTCCATAGTAAAAATAATTCCTTCCTACCACCCAGTTGTCCTCACTTGCATCTGTTAAATATTGAAGGATAATCCTCCCTCCAAACAATGCACTGGAACTGAGATGTTTATATTGTCAAACTCTTACAAGTTTTACAAGTGTTATATGACTAAAGTTAACTGAGCCCCTGCCTTGGTACATTTTATCATAAAGGAAAGTTGTATGCCCAGGGTATCAAGTGGTTAAAATAGCAAAGCTCAAAATGCCTTTTTATGTTTGTCCCATTTTGTTATTTTAATATAAATAAATGTGACTAAGTATTCCTCAGCAATTATACAGAAATGGCAAATATCCTGAAATAAATAACAGAGCAGATAAATATTTCAACATAATGTGACATAAATTTTGAAAAAAAAAAAAAAACATGAGACACTGAAAATCTTTTGTCTCCCCAGAACAAAAAATTAACAATTTCCAAATCTTTTTCTTGAATGTCATGCTCTGGTGATTAAAGCAGATAAATAATTTCTTCTTGACTGAAAAGTTTTCTTGAAGCTCGTACTTTTATGGAATTTTATTTAGGAAAGTTAGGCAAGATTTTCAGCTTGAACATAAGAGAATATTCACAGATTTTCTTCTTTCAGAAGTGATTTTATTTCATAATAACTAAGAAAAAGGAAGTACCACGTGTGTTAGAAAGCTGTGACGTGGATTTGTGTTACAAATGAAAGTTTGCCTGCTATGTTTCTGCGTGTTGCTATGAAATACTTCTGTTTAGAAACTAGTATTTATAGCTAGGAATCTAATGAGGAGCATGATGTTAGGCCAAATGAACCCCAAGGTAAGGACTCAAATGGTTTTTCTTTCTTGCTACTGTTTCTAACATATTTATAAGATGATTTCTTTGTTGCTTTGAATGTCCCTCCTCCAAGGTATAACCCCTGTTTTCACTGTATTTGATGAGGTTGGTATAATTTGTGGAGGGGAAGGGAAAAATCAATTGTTTAAATAGGGATACAGATGGACCCATTGCAACAAAATGTTATGTCGAAAAACGAACTTTACAACTTGGGCAGGGGGGGAGGCAGTAATGGGAGGGCAGGGATGGGAAGAGGAAAGAAAGGAGGAGGCAACAATGCTTGGTAAGAAAAGTACTCATTACCTTGCTCATGTAATTGTAAAACCCTCTGTATGGTATTTTCACAATTAAAATAACATTTTAAAAAAAAGCTAAGCATCTCCCCCATTTTTTTTTTTTGAGGCAGATTTCATTCTGTATAGCCTCAAATTTACTATCCACTTAACTTCTGCTTCCTAAGAGCTGGGATTAAGGTGCGCATTACCCCCACCCAACTGTTAAGTGTGTATCTTTAGGGGAATGTTCTACATAGTCTAGCTCTGGTACCTCTATTTTATATATACCATTTAAATTCTTCTCACATCTGATAATGAGTTCTGAATCTATTCTGTGTTTACTACATTGTGTTTGAATTCTCTAAGGAGAAAAAGAAACAACTGAAGTCCCGTTTCTTTGTCCCCTTCATTTATCTAAATAAGACACTGCTATTTTAAATTTGTTAGCAAGTTATCTTAGTAATGAGTCAGTCACTTTCATCAATTTCAGAGCCTCTGCTTCTGAGCCATGCTTCCAGTTGTGGTTTTCACTGCTTACTTTCTGGAGAGGATCCAACTTCTTGAGCTATGATCCACTCACTTTCAGCTTCCTTTCCTTGCTGGCTTAACAGGTGCACACCTCTGTGTAGCTTCTTTCTGTGGAGCTGGTGTCTTCCTCCACAGAGGGAGGACTTTTCTGCCCTCGCTGGCTTAGAACCGTGATCCTCCTGACCTTGTCTTACCACATAGGATGACAGATGTGCATCACAACACCCAGCTATTGGTTGAGAAATGATCTTGCAAACTTTTCTTCCTGGGACTGGCCTTGAACCACATTCCTCTCAAGTACCTGCCAAGTACCTAGGATTATGTGTATGAGTTACCTGCATCTAGGGTGCTGTCCCTCAGAAATGTGATTAATTAAAGTATAGATAGGGTGACCAGTGTCCTAAGGAACTCAAAACCATAAGAAAATACCTAAAATTAGAATCAGAAGCATAAACATTCATACAAATAGGAGTCAGAAAAATAGTCTATGTCCTTTCTCACATTTGAGGTTTGTTTTGTTTGTTTATGCTGGTCCTAAGGCTTGAACTCAGAGCCTGGGCACTGCCCCTGAGCTTTTTTGCTCAATGTTAGTGCTCTACTACTTGAGCCACAACTCTACTTTTGGCTTTTTTGTTGCTTAATTAAGTGGAGCTTAGAGTCTCATCAACTTTCCTGCCTAAGTTGACTTTGAATGGCAGTCCTCAGAACTCCCCCACTTAAAGTAGCTAGGATTACAGATGTGAACTACTGTCATTTGGCTATATGTGCATTTAAAAAAATTAATACACTTCTGTTAATATATATGTTTGAGTCATTAGTGAAATGGTAAGGGAGTTTAATGTTTTCAGAATCTTTTAATAACTAGAGTATGGTTATGTGTAAAATATTGATACATTTGTTTCACATGAGTTTTTAAAACAGCAGTTAATGTACTATGTGTTTTTTTAACATTTGTAATTTTTAAAAAAATTAGGTAGAATTTTGGTGTGCTGCTCAGGCAAACCTCCAAATGCTCAGCTCAAGTAGTTCTCTTTCCTCAGCTTCCTGAGGAGCTGGGGCTACAGGTATGTACCACCACACTAGACAACTTTTGTAATTTCTCAGAGCATATACTTATGCGTAGTTTTTAGTAAAAAAAACCACTTGTTTGTATTGTAGATAGAATCTAACTTTAGCTCCCATATTTCTTACCTCATATTAATGGAATTTGAAAGTTAATTTAAACGTTTAGATAGCTTTGAGTAAGCATCATTATACTAGAATTACTTGAATATTTTGTTTGTGGCAAAATAAGGAGTGATTTTAGTGCTGTAAAGGCCAAAAAATTGAGTCTCTCATTTGTTGATGAAAAATGTCTGCAATAAGGGCTTATTCTATTATTTGAGTAGTGTGGCAGTTTAAACAGTGATATTAGCCATTTATCTCCCAGTATTTAAAATTACTTACTAAAAGTTAACATTTGGCTGGGCACTAGTGGCTCACACCTGTAATCCTAGCTATTCAGGAAGCTGAGATCTGAGGATAATGGTTCCAAGCTACCCTGGGCAGAAACATCCATGAGACTCTTCTCTAATTAATCACAAAAATAGCTGGAAGTGGAGCTGTGGCTCAGTGGTAGAGTGCTAGTCTTGAGCAAAAGAAGCTCAAGGACAGTGCCCAGGCCTTGAGTTGAAGTGCCAGGACTGGTTGGTGTGCGCGCACACCACACACACACACACACACACACACACACACACACAAGTCAACCTCTGTAATAAAGCTGTTTTCATGGAATCTAGGTTGTCTGTTTATAAGGTAGCTAGAATAATGAAGTCTCTTGTCTAGAGCTGTGACTATAACAGTATATTAGTGCTCAATGTGTTTGCTTTTATTGGGGAACACTTTTTGGTGAGAAAAGCTGAGCTGACTTACTCTTGTTTCAGATTCATATGTTGGAATCAGTATAATTAGAATTTGTCCCCACTGTCTTCTCTTGGTGGTAGGTTTAGAGGCTGTTAAGCCCTGTAGATAGTATGTGTATGAAGACTGAGGTGAATTGACAGATCAAAATTTTGGAAACAAGAAGAGAACTTGGTGCCTACAAAGCCTTTCTCATTCCTTCCCATGTCAGTCTGAATTGGGGCCAGTTGGGTAGATGAGTTAGACACTGACTACCCACAGTAGGAGGCTTTGTAAGCTTGTCATTAGGTGAGCTCTTCTGAAATCTGGTTAAGTATACTAATCAAGCCTCTAGCAACAGAGAGTGATATTGGAGATAAATATAAGACATTTAGAGAACTGTGGATAATATTTCAACAAAACATGGAGTGCTAATGAATTTATTCAGAATTATACAGATAGACAATATCTTCTAATCATTCTTAAATAATTGTAGATTCCTATTTCCTAGCTTAGAGAATCATTAATGTTTTTCACCTAGTTTATTGAACATAAAAGTAGGGAGATAGGATT